TATATATATATATATATATATAGTTTGTTTATAATAGAAAATAGAGAAAGTATAAACTAATATCAATTAGACGTTTGATTTTGAAGAACTAATAAATATTTTTTTTATAAAATTATTTAAGCATATTGTTAGTTGTCATATTAGTAAATTTACAAAGACTTACTTTGTTCAATAATTTATATTTTATATCAAATTTTAATAATTTAATCATTAAATTTTAAGTTCTTAATGTATAGATCATATGTCTATAAATTTTTTTAAAAAATTATTTAATACTTTATTTCATTAATTCAGGAAGGATATGTATATATAAGTCTACCTAAACTTATCATATCTAATAATTCATATTTTATATCAAATTTTAATTATTCAATCATTAAATATATATTTATAATCATTCTAACCAAAATATAGCCAATTCTACTAGTTTTGTATTATAAAAGCAACTTTTCATATCCATAATTGATGTAGATTAAAACATATTAAAATTACATTAAAAAATTGTAAGTTATTAGATTTTTAGGAGACTCATTTAATGAGATAGGTTCACTAAAATTTATGATTTATAACAATAAATTTTAATTGATATTCTCTTTTTTTATATGTAAAAAAATTTAATTTTACACATTAAGAAGATTAATTATTTGCATTAAATTTTATTAGTTTCATAATATTTTTTTTTATCGGTGTTCTAAATATCAAAAGCAGTAATACAACTGAAATGTCATACATCAAAGAAGAAATAGTTTAAGAAAAATATCATTAAATAAGAAAAAAAATAGTTTAAATTTGAATATATTTAAGAAAAAAATGTATTTTTGTTTTTTTTTATGTACTAGAAAATAGAGGAGGTAATTCATAAAATGAGTGTTAGATCTTTTCTTCAAAACTTTTGCTCCTTGAGTGAAAAGTATAAAAGGACAACAAAAGTGACTTTTATGGTGAATATTGCAGGCAAATTTCAAGAAGCTATCTGTGACAATAATGGGATTGTTCTTTGCTTTAACAAATCCTGTGGGGATTGGAATAGGGATCACTAATATTTACGATGAAAGCAGCCCAACTGCCTTAATTGTGGAAGGAATCTTCAATGCAGCATCTTCAGGGATCTTAATCTATATATGGCTCTTGTTGATCTTCTTGCAGCTGATTTTATGAATTAATCCAAGAATGCAAAAAAGTGGTAGTCTCCGGTTAGGGGCCAATATCTCTCTTCTCTTTGGAGCTGGTTGTATGTCTCTTATAGCTAAATGGGCTTAAGAATGTGTTTTTTTTTTTTTTCTTCTTAGGTTGGAATAAGAAAATCTTAGTGAGCTATAAGAGAAATGAATTTTGTGTTTTTTTTAGATAACATTTTTAGATATTTTTCATATGTTTATTATTCTAGAAAGTTAAGCAATTATGAGTAGGGGTTGGCAAAACGAACTGAACTGAACTGAACTTATAAAAACTATACTGAACTTAAAAATAGTTCACATGAACTGAACTAAACTAAACATTAGTTCAGACGAACTGAACTGAACTATTCTTTTATGTCATTGAACTGAACTGAACTGAACTGAACTATACTATAAAAACTTGAACTGAACTACAATTTAAACTGTACTAAACTATTATGATATTTTGAATTGAACAATTTTGACTCATTGATCTATCAAAATAGGACACATTTGCCAACTTTACTTTATTTTCCATTTTATTTAAATTTTTCAAAGGAAAAAAATATAAAATTAAGTCAAACAAACTCAGTGAATTTTAAGCCTAAAAATAAGTAGTTCAACATAGCTCAATTGATCCGTTAAGTTCCACAAAATTGATACAATTTTTTTCAGATATTTTTTTTTAAGTTTTGATTATTAGACTATCGAGCTAATCTATTAAGACATAACATGTTAAACACATTTAATTTTTATTCTTTTATAAAAATAGTTCAATTTTTATAATTCAGTTCAGTTTTTATAGTTCAGTACAGTTTAACTTTACAACAGTTCAGTTCAGTTCAGTTTTTTTTAAAAAGTTCAGTTCAGTTTTTTTTACAAACAGTTCAGTTTTTTATAGTACAGTTCACCACCAGTTCAGTTCAGTTCAGTTCAGTTTAGTTTTTTTTGCCCACCCCTAATTAAGAGACTAGTGATAATAAATAATTTATTTCAAAGATGTTGACAAAGTATATTGTTTTTTTTTATAAGTTATTCAAATATAAAAATAATAAAAGATTGTTAGCAAATGATGACTTAAAAAATGGACAACATATTAGCAATACTTAAATAATACAAGGATAGTTTTTAGTGTATAACTAACATGGATGTTTGGAATGAATTGAGAGTAAGGTTAAACAAAAAGAAACAATTGATTAAAAGTTGCAACAAATGTTATGAAAGAGAAAGAACATTGAGAACAAGTTTTAAGTAGAATAATTCTAGTTGTGAAATATCATGCTATTGTAATTTAGCTTTTTGAGGATCGAATAAAAAATTATATCAAGATAGTGGTATAGTAA